AGGAATGGAGGTGGAGGAGCAGGTCAAGTGTGTGGATAATGAACAGATGACAGGGAGCAGGGACAGAAGCCTGGAGAACAGAGTGGCTATCTGCTGCTGTCCAGATGGGAGATGGCGGTGGCTTGGCTCACGGTAGGGAAGTGAGGCTTGGGAAGAGTGGTGCTGGAGAGAGGCGAGAGGGGAGCGGGCTCTTGCCGAGAGGCACAACAAGTCCAACTGTGCAGACTGGCGGATCTGAAACTGTGCTGGGGCCTCCAGGGCTGTCCTATGGCTGTGCTGACTCAGGCTTTCCTCCTACTCCCCAGGTATGGCTCCCACGGTGCATTTTACCGCTACCAGAACAGCATGGGCAAGAGCCTCCCACTCTTTTATGTCTACGACTCATACCTGACATCCCCTGAGGCCTGGGCTCACCTCCTGACGCCGAGCGGGCCCCACTCCATCCGCAATACCCCCTACGATGGGGTCTTCATAGCGCTGCTGGTGGAGGAGGGCCACACCCACGACATCCTGGCTGCAGGATTTGATGGCATGTACACCTACTTCGCTTCCAACGGCTTCTCCTTTGGCTCCTCCCACCAGAACTGGAAAGCTGTGAAGAACTTTTGTGATGCCAACAACCTCATGTTCATTCCCAGCGTGGGGCCTGGCTACATTGACACCAGCATCCGGCCCTGGAACAACCACAACACGCGGAACAGGGTCAACGGCAAGTACTATGAGACGGCCCTGCAGGCGGCCCTGACGGTGAGGCCCGAGATCGTCTCCATCACCTCTTTCAACGAGTGGCACGAGGGCACCCAGATTGAGAAGGCCATCCCCAAGAAGACGCCGACTCGCCTGTATTTGGACTACCTGCCTCATCAGCCCAGCCTCTACCTGGAGCTGACCCGCCGCTGGGCAGAGCACTTCATCAAAGAGAAGGAGCAGTGGCTGATGTGAGGGCCTCGGTGGGGCAGGAGGTGCTGATGTCCCAGCTTCTCGGGGAGATGCTGCCATGAGGGGCTCAGCTGCAGCCACGGGCATGAGCTTGTCCCCAACTCCCCAACTGGGTGCTTCTGGGTAGACCGTTGGCCTGTTCCTCAGGCCAGTGGTGCAGGGTGCTCTGTAGCCATGAGAAGAGGTGGTGTTCTAGAGGGAACTGAAGAGGCTGGCAGGTACCTGGACTCAGCCAGGGCCACTCCACATCCTCAGCACTCAGAATCCCCTCCGGCTTTGAACTGAGGCAGATTGGTGCTGGGGGATGGAACCTGCCAATGCTCTCGGAAGGGCGTTGGGGTTCAGGGCTGGTATGCAACCCTGCTCCCTCCTGTCAGCCTGCGTCCTCTTCAGGCCTCCTTCCCACGTCGTTTGTCTTCTGAGCTAGGAAACCATTATTGGATGCTTTCCAAAAGGGAATTTCTAGGTGTAAGCTCCTCCCAGTAGATTCCTAACCTCAATCACCAGGAACTAACCCTGAGCATTCGTTCCCACATTCACGCACCACCCACTGATGAAGCACCTCACTCTGTGCTGCGTGCTGGGAAAACCTGACCGAGGAACTGAGACAGGGCCTGTCTTCCTGCAGCTTCCAGGATCCAGCTTTCCTTCTTTGGTGTGGCCTTGTAGCGAGTGCCTGGGCAGTTGTTTTTTCCTTGGTTTTACCCAGTGCCAGGAGTTCAGTTTTTTCCTCAAATACCTCTGTGCTCTGGGTCCCACTTTCCCCAGATGAACACCTAGTTCCAGAGAGGACTAGGATGCCCCCTCATTAGCAGAATGAATGGAATCCGGCCCACTTGCTAGAGCCATTTTCAGTGCTGTGATTTGTATTAAATATGAAGTGGTAATTCCTAAGCAAGCATTCCTTTTGCTCTTCAAGACCTCACAACACACTGACATATAGGTTGGGCAGGCTACACTTGGAGCACAATGAAGAGTGGGTTTAAGAAATCACTAGTTTAAACCAGACTTCTAGAGGGGATAGTTAACAAACCAGTGCTTATTTACAAATAAACTAATGTGCTAACTTGCAGGGACTGTCACTGAAACAAGGCCCTGGAACAGCTTCCTGGCAAAATTCTTCCTATATACTTGAAAATATGTACACTGGAAACTACCACACCGAGTTTATGAGCTCAAAGCTGACTGTAATTCTGGAAACCGGGGTGGGGCGTAGAGGAGGGAGAGGAAGTGGCCCAGTGGTCACCTAGAGGACACCGAGCTTGTTAGGTAACATACCAAGCCTACCAGGCAGGTGAGCATGCCCGGCCTCCTGGCTCGTGCTGCCAACCAGGTAGGCAGGGACTGACGAGAGGGCTAGACGTCGACATGTCGCAATTCACAGAGGACGGTTAACACTGAGGCTCCATTTCACACACAGAATTTGACAAAATACTTCAACTATGGCCAGGCCAGGGGGCAAGGTCAGTCATTCTCACGGACTGCTGACGGCAACGTAATGTGATTCGGGTCTTTGGAAGGCTAATCTGTATCGAGCCATAAACACGCCATACACTTCGACTTAGTGATCTTACTCTAAAGAAATAATCCAATAGAAAAATAAACCACTTACAAATATGTTTAATGACAGCAGTTTTTCAAAATAATAATAATAAAAAAAGTTGAAATGCCCAACAATTATGTTTAACACTTGGTATGCATATTGATAAAAGGCAGTGCTGAGTAAACACTGGACTTAAAGATGTTACAGGTGTACTTAAGTGGATTTTATGCAAAAATAAGGAAGTCACTCTATAAAGGATAATACTTATTTTCTAATTCTCTTTAATTATCAGAGGGTGTATGTGCTTGCAGGAGAGAGGGGTTCCCGCTCACCTACCCACCGCCATGGGACACAGTTACACCACAATCCTTTTTTCTTTTCTTTCTCCTTCCTGCCAAGATTTCAGGCAAGTGCACACATATGCCTGGCATCCTTTTCAGGCCATAGGTTGCAGCGGGTCATGTGGGACTGTGATCCCAATGCACAACGCCTGACCGCTGCACTTTGGGGCCAGCCCTATTTTCCAGTATTCTCTATCTGGATCCCCACTTCCACCACATTCCTGCCCACTGAACACACCTGCTACTTCACTGCCTGACCTGCTTTCCTGCCAGGCAGTTACACGGCACCACTACTCCCACTGGTCCAGAGGAAAAGGCGTTTGGTCTGTGGCTCTCCAGTCTTTCCCTTAACCTGGCTGCAGTGCAGGAGCCCAGACCCACACCTTTAGTCACCTGAGACTGGTGAACAGCACCAGCACCTCTAGCTGGTTGGACCTGAAATGCCACCACCTGCCAGAGAGGTCTCGCTCCCTAAATTCTAAATCTATTACTTTTCGACAAAAAGAGAACAAAAGCAGAAATTTATCACAATAAGGCCACTCTGGGAATGTTCTTAACCTCTCCTCTCGGCATGTGGCTGATAAACGAACTACGAGGAATACACATAACCTCCCCCAGCTGTGAGGCTCCCCCAGCAGCCTTGGGACCTGGTCTACAGTGCTCAGGAAGACATGCTGCCTTAAGGCCCAGGCTGGTGACGTTGCTCCAGTGGCCTCTGTGAAGGAGGCCTTGCCAGCACACAGACTCGCAGTATCCAGCCGCACCTGGCGCCTGCCCTGGCCCAAGTGTCACTAGCAGGGTTCGGGAGAGGGGAGCAGCCCGTATTTCTGTTGGAGGATGGCTGTGGTGTTTTCCAGGGCACTGCAGGAGAGAGAGAGGACAGGCACAGTCTGTTTTCTCAACCGTGAGCCCACCGACCTGGTGATTGGGGCCCGCTATGCTCACTGGTAATATGTGCTGTTTCTCAAGCCCTTGAAGAATCTTTCTGAATCCTAAAAAAGCCAGCAAACTTAAACCCACCACACCCACCAATTCTCCAATCCTGCCTATACCTGCCAGGACAAGACAGACATTAACAACCTTCGTCGTCTGCGTTTCCCCTTTCCGTGTTTCTCCATCCTCCCTCGAATCCCACCCTCCACACTACAGGAAAGACGCTTACCAGCCTGCACGAATGATACCAAACTTTCCAGGCACAGACAAATCAACCACAGTTGAGCCGAGGCGACACACAGGATTCTGGCTATCCCCAATTGGCCCTCCATCAATGACCAGAGACAACTGAGGCCAGAGGTCTCGGAACTCCTGAGAAGAGGGGAGGAACAGCATGAATACGATCCCTGGCCTCTGTGATGAGGTCACACTACACACGGGGTTAGTAAGGAAGACAAAGGCCTCACACCTTTTTTTCCTTGAGCGGTTTTTGCTATAGGGTGCGTGTGCTAGCCAGAAAGACAGAAAGAGAGAGAGACAGAGACAGAAAGCGAGAAATCACCCCCCAGAGGGGACAGCCATGCCGCAATCCCTTCTCCTCCATTCTCTTCTCAGGATCTTGGGCACGCGTGCACATGCGCCCGGTGTGAGTTTAAGCCACCAGGTCTGGGACTTGAACCATGGTCGACTATATGGGAGTCCAGTGACATAGCCATTATACCAAGTGCTGGTCCCAAGACTTCACATTTTTGAAAAAGGTGGTGCCTTCCTATAAGTAGGGAAGAGGACCCTTAGTTTAGGTCAGCTGTGCCAAGGCCACTGCATTCACAGGTTTGAGATACTCCGCGGTCAGTGCCCCAGCCAACACTTGTCTAGAGCTTAAATGAGATTTTGCTGTGCCAAAAGGAAATTCCACACATTGTTTCAGCTAGAATGTAGGGAAGTGTGATGACTGGGGCTCTGGGTGAGTCTAGAAATGTAGGCTCTAACCTTGAACTTCCCATCCTGTGTGCTGAATGCCAAGTTCTTTACCCAGGCCTGTAAAACTAGGGGGTGGCTAGACGATCACTAAGGGATCTTCCAGTCCCAGCACTCTGGTCCTGCATCTCAGGGGAATGCTGGATCAAGGCAGAAGAAAACGGTCTGGACTCTACAAGTATGTGCCAGCAGCAAGCAGTTCTCTGGCTTTGGCAAGGGCCACTTCCACCAGAACCACAGGAAGACGCAGTGGTGGCAGTTAGTCCTAGGAGTTTGGGGTAGGGGATCATAAATACTGGTTCCCATGCTGGATAGGTCAACTGACTGCAGACAAGGAAAGACCGCCCCGCTTTCCGGAGAGTCACCAGGACCAGGAAAGGCCTGTGGTCTGAGAACGAGAATGCGGACAGATGCTGATCTCTTACTTTCCAAGGCCCCTGAGCCCACTTTCTAGGTCTGGACAAGAACTCCGCCAACTCCCATGCTCGACATTTAAATTAGTAAAGTTTCTTTATTCCAGTCACAAAACTGCATGAGAAAGAGAAAGCCCTACTAACAGTGTCTTATCATGTCATGATCCCCTTTCCTCAACCCTCTAGTTTGGCAGGCTCCTGGAAATACCTGTGCACATGCATCCAGCCATGAGTTCCATCAACCTGGGGATCAGAACCCACAGTCAGCTAGCTATGTGACCCTCAGCACTGTGGCTCAATTTGCTACCGACTGTGCCTACAGGTGGGGCCTACATGTAAGTCTGGTAAGAAGAAAGGTAAAATTTGTGCCATCATTTTTTTTTTTTTTTGGAGAGGTTTTTGCTTTAAGGGCGCATGCGCTCACCAGACAGACAAAGAGACAGGAAGTGATTGGCCACGCTGCAATCCCTTCTCCTCCATTCTCCTCTTGGGATCTTGGGCACGCATGAACACGCGCCCAGTGTGAGTTTTAAGCCACCGGGTCCGGGACACGAACCGCAGTCGACTACGTGGGAGTCCAGCGACATAGCCATTACGCTAACTGCTGGTCCTCCATCATTTTTTTTAAAAGAGAGATTTTTGCTATAGGGCACATGTGCTTGCCAGAGAGACAGAAAGTGAGAAATCACCCCCTCCCCTGGGGAGATGGCCACGCTGCAATCCCTTCTCCTCCATTCTCCTCTTGGGACCTTGGGCAGGCACACATGCCCAGTGTGAGTTTGAAGCCACTGGGTCCTGTGGGAGCCCAGTGATGTAACCATTACACCATCTGCTGGTCCCTCATTTGTTTTAAGCTATACAGCCAAGACAATCAGAATGATACTCCTTTAGACCTGGCTTGTGGCAGAGGTAAGTAAAAATCAGGTAAAGACCTGGGCCAGTCATTTAATGGCGGCAGACCAGGAGCAAGTGAGTTACTCCCGAGCCTTAGGCTGTTCGCCTTCCTTCATGACACTGCTGAGATCCCCAGCCTAAAGTGTTCGCCAACAACTGCTACTCCCACAGAAAAGGAAGACAATGACTCTACTCATCACAATCTTTGCTCATAAAAGCAGATGAAGGAAACCAACACTTCGTCCAGCCTCTCAAACTTTTGAAATGAAAACCTTTAGAAGCTCCTTTAGTTTGGATCCTTCTCCCATCCCCTCTCCCTTGCCAAGCGGGCAGTTCCTGCTGCGGGACCCACAGGGTTACTTTCCTGCCGGAGCACTATCAACCTGATGGCTCAGAGCCAACAGTTTTTGGCCTGGTGACGTTTCTGGAAGATGGAGGGGTATTTCTTACCTCCACATTCAGAGAACTGGCCTGGGAGCTGAGGTTGGCACTGGTAAGAGCCAGCGGGCCACCGAACATCTGGGCCAAATCCTGCATGAAGGCGTGGTCCGGAATCCGGATGCCAACGAGCTAAGAGAGGGGAAAAGGGATCCACAGACAGTTAGAAGGGGCAACTCTGGTCTGGTCCGTGGTGCAAACCAAGTGGCCAGAAGTCGTCTGGGGATGCCAGGAAAACATGACTCACAGGAGTGAATGGGTTCAGGTCCTGGTTGAGCTCCTCTGTGCGTTCCATCACCAGAGTCACTGGTCCTGGCAACAGATCTTTCAGGAGCCCCTCGGGTACTCTCACATGGCAGTACCTGGGAGACCAAGCAGCACAGAACCCAAGAATGTTAAGGGCAACCCTTTCCTAGACTCTGGGCAGGTCCAGGAAAAGGGTCCTTGGGGCCTACCATGGGCTCTGTCTCTCTCGCTGCTTCACCCCACTAACAGCTTGACTCCACGAAGGTAGGGTCCAGAGGAGCACCCCAGGCCCGGAGCCCCCATGCCTGCGGTCTCAAGGACTACAAGGCACCGCCAGGAAACCGCGACCCTGGCACCGAACTCCGCGTTTCATCCTCTCCAAGGCGCTCGCTAAGGAATTACACTGCCGGGTTTGGTTCCTCTTTTCCGTAGGGCTCTCCCCGTGAGCACAAGAGCGCCAAGAGAAGGGGCCGTCCTAGTCTTTTCGCTGCGGCGTCCCGGCCTCTGGATCAGGGCTTGGCAGACGTTAAGTGCTGGGTATATATTTCCAGTTCCGGATTCCTTGGTGAGCTTGGACAAGCCCCTCCCGCTCTCTGCGCCTCAGTCTCCCATGCCTGTCACCGGAAACCCCTCCCGCGGTGCCGCCCCCAGCGGGGCCGGGTCGGGGCGGCCTCACCTGTAGACGTCGGCCACGCGGCCCAGGCATACGGCCAGCGGCTTGGCCTCGCTGCGGCCCTTGAGGCGGTACTCTCAGCCCCCTGCACGGACGCGCCGGAGACATCCGCCCAGGCCCGCTTCCGGGAGGAAGTGACGCTCCTAGTCAGCTTCCGGCCCGGGAGGCTCAGCCCCACCTCCGCGCCGGCCCGCTTAAAGGGACCACGACCCCCAGGAGGATTGAAGGAGACCGGTGGGGACGGGGCGGGGCGCAGCTTTGCGGAGCCCTAGCGCAGCGCTGGGGAGGGGGCGGCCGAAAGGGGGGCGGTGGTCGGGCCGCGCGGGCGGAGATGGAATGGGGCCCGGGCTCAGACTGGTCACGGGGGTGAGAGGGGGACCGGCGGGGCGGGCGGGGGGG